GGGGGGGGGGGGGGGGGGGGGGGGGACGCTCCTCATAACAAGCCCATGCCCTGTAGGTTTCCAGAATACTCACCCCCACATTCTTCCATATGTTCTAAAACATTTCTCATCAAATTCACAAAAACCCTGCAAGGAGAAACAAAACGTATTAAAACAAACTAAATGTACTGAGCTAAATGTACTCTAAGTACACAAAAAAGTCTCAGATTGCATGAAATGCACATGAAATGTGGCTCACTACCTCTCATTGGCAGAAAGAGGGAAGCTCCTATTCACAGGCATCTTATAGGAAGGGAGAGAAAACAGAGCAGATATGAAATGGAGAAGTTCAAGTCTCTCTTGAGTTGTCTGTGAGTACTATAGATACTGAGCATCTTACCCGTTTGTGAAGACTATGTAATCCCTATCTTTCTGACTTGTTTGGCTTGTTCATGTGTTGTCTCTAAACCTCATAGCCATCTGAATTATTACCTTCAGGGCTACGTGAGAAAACAGAAGCTGATGGAAAGTCAGTATGACCCCCTGTTACCACCCCATTCATTGATCTCATGAGCCCTGCTAGATTTTCAGTGGATTTTGGATATTAAGACACCTGTGTCCTCTTTCAGAGTAGCAGATCTACCTGAAGCCTAGCACATGTTTGTTAAGTGAGAAAGTGAGAGACAAATGGAGGAATAACAAAGGAGACACACTTCTAGTTCTCACATAGAAAAGATGGGACGGTGCCACCACTCCACAAAAGACAGTGTAAATTAAAACTTGCTCTGAGTTTTCGCTTACATCACTTGAAAATCAGGAAAATCAGGAAACTTCCTGTCTCTATGTTCCAGCTGTGATTTTGATGTTTTAACTATGCAAAGTATAGTTCCAAATGTGGTGGATCTACTAAGGAGTTGATCTGGGAACAGTGGAAAGGAGATTATTGCTTTTTCAGAGAGGAAATATCCAGGAAGTTCTTAATGATAACTGGGCACTTAATGATAACTGAGAGCCAGGAGAGGTGGGATCTGAGGCACAAGCCTCAGGTCTGTGGGAAAGGAAATCCAAGGCAGGGAGCAGCCTGTAGAAGAGACTCTGCCTGCTGACCTTCAGCACATGAACTCCTACCTTCTGTTCAGGAGTCAGGCCTCGAGTGAGGCATCAGAGCTGGATTAGCCACATGGCTCTACCTACATTCAGTCTGTGTGTCTGCTAGTACATTCCATTCAGTTACTTTAAATCTTTAATAGTTTTGTCAAAACAACTCTTTTCTAGTGATTTTGTATGAGTGGTTCTTCTGTTGTTCAAATAAAACACACACACACACACACACACACACACACACACACAATTCATTTGGAGGTTAAAATCTGAAGTCAATAGACCAGCACCATCTTGCATCGGTTACACTCCTTCCCTGCTCAGACTCACCTATAGGGTGCCTCCTTTGAAAGTAGAGGAGTAAAGCAGAAAGGTCTGGTTCAACCACTTGAATCCCAAAAGTTGTCACCATTAGCAAAGGATGAATTAAAGTCATTGAAATAACTGCAGGGGGTTGCCAATTCTTAGGAGAATTCAAATATGTGCAAACTTCCCAAAGATGAATCTGGGGCTGCCCAATAAACTGAAGTTGTAGAGCCATCCGGGAAAACAAAAAGGCTAGTCAGAGCTCATGCTATGAACAGGAAAGTCTGACTCTAGCCTACAGAGATAATGAGCCACTACCAGGGACTCCTTTGATGCTTTTCACCTAATGACAAGTACAATTTTGCCTTCATGGGAACCTGTACCTGCCAAGGATCTCTTCACAATGCTCCCAAGCTGGAACAGCAAGTCCTGGGCTGCATCAGTCAGAGACCTGGACTGCCAGCTCAGGGGAAACCTGAGACTCCTAAGAACAGACAAGAGAGAGCCGTGGGGTACACTTGGCCATGTGCTGGGTGGAGACTGTGACACCATTTCTGGAAAGCCTGAAACTAAGAACTTCTGCTGAGGAATATCTTTAATATGGAACTAAGCTGGGACTTGCAACTGTAAGAAGCAAAAGAGGGAGCTGGGAGCTCAAATAACACTCACCTGACGGTACCCCAGGGCAGTTCCCAAAAAAGGCAGAGGTTTTGGCCCAGGAATTCCCAGCTTCTTAAAAAGTCCATGTGTGTGGGTTCCATATCTATAAAGTGAAAGAGTAAGTCTGGTCACAGGGATGGTGGAAGAGGTGGAGGGACTGGCCCATCACTGACACAGAACTGGAACAGGTAAGAGAGGAGGTAACACATAGGGAAGAAATAATAACATCAATTCCAATGGCAATTGTTACATTACTCATCATCTCCTTTCCCTTCTCCATTATAGACCCAAAACAATAATAATAATGATGATGATTAGCTAAAAGCAGCTGAAAATTTAACAGTCCCAATCCTAGACTTAACACTTGAAAAATGTTTCTATACTTGAGATCTCCTGAAAAGTTCATGCTGAATTTTTCCAGGAAATTCACTCATGCCTATTTAGTAAATGACTCTTCCATGAATTTAGAGACTGTCATTCAAGGGAGGAAGAGAAAAAAATTTCTGCTCCAATGATGAGACTTTGCTTAATTATATCCACTCAGTAACAGAGAGTCTATGTCAAAATGTTCTTATGGTTTGGTCAGAGAACTTTCTTCTTTTCCTTTCTTGTAGTCCCTGTTGCTGTTTGGGATCTGAGTCCTCTTTGTTTTTGTTTTTGTTTTTGTTTTTAGAGAAAGAGGGAGAAAGCATGAACAAGGGAGAGGTGGAAAGAGAGAGGGAATCCTATGCAGGCTCCACACTTAGTGTGGAACTGAATGTAGGACTCTATCCCATGACCATGGGATCATGACCTGAGTGGAAATCATAGTTGGATACTCAACCAGTGGAGCCACCCAGGGCCTCTGAGATATGATCCTACTTAAATTTATCTTTATAGAGATACAGAACAACCAAGGTTCTTTTTTTTTTTTTTTTTTTTTACCTCAAGCCATTTTTATATTTTATTTATTTTTTAAATAGTTTATTGTCAAGTTGGTTTCCATATAACACCCAGTAGAGCAACCAAGGTTCTTATTTCTGTACAATGAAAACTGTGTCCCAGCCTCAACTGGCCTCATAGAAAAGTGGGATGGTGTCAGCTCCACTTAAGTCTCTGTTTTCAGCCATTCTGGTTCTCTTGAGCTGCAGAGAAGGAGGACTGACCCATATGTGCCCTGAATGATACCATATAAAAGAATCAGTAAGTAAACAACCCATTCCCAGACCATTCTTCCCCCTGCGGATTCTGGTCCTTCAACCTGTGAAACTCGTCTGCTCAGCACACTGCCACTCCCACTCATTTTTTTCTTTCAACATGGTCACTAGTATACTGACTCTGTGTATCAACTATCTCAAAAACCCATTATAGATGGTGCTCCCTATGACAGGCCTGCTTGCAATCCATCTTTCATGATTTGCTTGTGGAATCCCACAACTAGGGGTTCTGGATCCTTGCAAACCTTCCACTTTAGGTGTTGCTGAGAAACAGCAGATTAGAGGGAGGAGAGAGGTTGAGAGAAAAGGCTGCCAGCACCATTTTAACCATGAACTTGCTAGGCCTACAGGGCTAACCCCATAGAGGCAAATTAGGAAAGTGGTGGGAAAGGATGCTAGGTAGAAATGATTACATACCCGACAAGTGCTTTCAGCTAACAGATAGAGGGTCTCCCAAAGTTCACATATCTCCAGTTCATAGCAGAATATGTGTTATGCAACATAAAATAAGTAATGACAAAATATTCCAAAGGAGGAGGAGGGGCAAGATGGCGGAGAAGTAGGGAGCTCCGTACCTGCACTCGCGCCCATGCATCACACGGAAAAGATCTGAAGCCATAGGAAAATGTACCAAACCCAAGAGATTGGGAGAAAAAGGACACAGATTCCACTGAGAAAGACTTCTAACGTGAGTGTGAACTGGGGAAGTAAAAATCGGGCCTGGATTGGAGACTGGAGAGACGGGTCACCCCTCTCTGTGGGGAGTGAGAGGGGAAAAAGAGAGTCTGAAACAGAAAAACCTCCGCTCGGGGGGAAAAACCTCCGCTCAGGGTGTAGAAAATCTATGCGCACAAAATACCTGCGCTTCAGGGCCCCCCATGCTCCAAGTCGCCCAGGAGGGGCTGCGCTCGCGATTTGCTTCTTTGTGCTGGCTACTGGCTGGCTGGGAGAGGTTCCGCGCCTGCAGCCATTGCCTTTCTGGGGGCTTGGACCCCTGGAGGAGGCGCGCAGAGGCACCGGCGTCCGTACTCCTAGCTGGCTGGAATTCTAGAAGGAAGGCAAAGCACTAAAAACTGGCAGATGTGACCGCGAGTTCATGTTTTGGGTGACAAGACATAAAGGGAACTTGATTTCCTCACTCCAGCGGGGCTCAGCGCGCCAGCAGACAAAGCCCCTCGCCCCGCCCAGGCTCCCCAGCCCCACCCAGAGGAGAAGGGAGCAGCGGCTTCTGGCTCCACCCCCAGAGCTAGCCTGAAAGATTGGAATTGCCCTGAGGAGTAGCCAGGGGATCGCCTGAGGCAATTTCAGCTGGGTGCTTGGCCTGAGATTTGGATGGCTGGGACTGGCCTGGGTTGAAAAGCCCAACAAACTTTGGCTGAGCCCCTGGCCCAGGAAGTTTACACGCCTCTAAAAGCGAGGTGGAGTGCCACCACACTCCTCCCTACAACCTCCAGGCAGAACTCCCGCCTGACTCATTGGATCACACCACGCCCATCCCTGCTTGAAAGCTGCCCTCCTCCCTTTTCCCCTTTTTTTTTGTTTTTGTTTTTGGTTTTTGTTTTCTTGTTTGTTTTTTCTTTTTTCTGCAGAACACTGACCTGATTACCTCTGGTCACCGGCGTGCTTAAACAATCAAATTTAGTCCATATAAAACCCCCAAAAACATGGAGGTTAAAGACCACCCTACTAAAGAATGAATGGGTCAATCAGGCAATTAGGGATGAAATTTAAAAATATATGGAAACAAATGAAAATGAAACCACAACAATTCAAAGTCTATGGGATGTGGCAATGGCAGTCCTAAGAGGAAAGAACATTGCTCTCCAGGCCTATTTCAAGAGGTTAGAAAAAGCCCAAGACCAAAATCTAACAGCTCACCTAAAGGAACTAGAGGCAGAGCAACATGAACGCCCTAAACCCAGTAGAAGAAGAGAAATAGTAAAAAACAGAGCAGAAATAAACAACATAGAGACCAAAGAAATAATTGAACAGATCAATGAAAATAAGAGTTGGTTTTTTGAAAAAATAAACAAAATTGACAAACCTCTAGCCAGGCTTCTCAAAAAGAAAAGACAGAGCACCCAAATAGACAAAATCATGAATGCAAATTGAATTATTACAACCAACCCCTCAGAAATACATGCAATTATCAGGGAATACTATGAAAAATTATATGCCAACAAATTGGACAACTTTGAAGAAATGGACAAATTCCTAAATGCACAGCCACTACCAAAATTCACACGGGAAGAGGTAGGAAATCTGAACAGACCCATAACTAGTGAGGAAATCGAATCAGTGATCAAAAATCTCCCAAAAATAAGAGCCCTGGACCGGATGACTTCCATGGGGAATTCTACCAGACATTTAAAATAGAATTTATACCCATTCTTCTCAAGGTATTCCGAAAATAGAAATCAAAAGAAAACTTCCAGACTCATTTTATGAAACCAGCATCACTCTGATCCCCAAGCCAGACAGAGATCCAGCTGAAAAAGAGAACTACAGGCCAATATCCTTGATGAATACAGATGCAAAAATCCTCAACAAGATACTTGCAAATCGAATCCAACAGCACATAAAAAGAATTATCCACCAAGATCATTCCTGGGATTCATTCCTGGGTTACAGGGCTGGTTCAACATTTGCAAATCAATCAATGTGATACATCACATCAACAAAAGAAAAGATAAAAACCATATGATCCTGTAGATAGAGGCAGAAAAAGCATTTGACAAAATACAACATCCCTTCTTAATAAAGACTCTAGAGAAAGTTGGGATAGAAGGAACTTACTTAAACATCATAAAAGCCATCTATGACAAGCCTTCAGCTAACATCATCCTCAACAGGGAAAAACTGAGAGCTTTCCCCCTGAGATCAGGAACACGACAGGGATGTCCACTCTCACCACTGCTGTTTAACATAGTGCTGGAAGTCCTAGCATCAGCCATCAGACAACAAAAGGAAATCAAAGGCATCAGAATTGGCAAAGAGGAAGTCAAACTTTCACTCTTCGCAGACGACATGACACTCTACATAGAAAACCCGACAGACTCCACCAGAAGCCTACTGGAACTGATCCAAGAATTCAGCACAGTTGCAGGGTACAAAATCAACGTACAGAAATCGGTTGCATTTTTATACACCAACAATGAAGCAACAGAAAGAGAAATCAAGAAGCTGATCCCATTCACAATTCCACAAAAAAACGTAAAATACCTAGGAATAAACCTAACCAAGGATACAAAAGATCTGTATGATGAAAACTATAGAAAACTTATGAAGGAAATTGAAGAAGACACAAAGAAATGGAAAAACATTCCATGCTCATGGATAGGAAGAATAAATATAGTTAA